CTGACCTTCACTATATCTTCTCCGTGTCTATAGTTTTTCACTTGAAGAATATTATGTAAATGGAATCATGCAGAATATAACTTTTTGAGTTATTTTCAGCAAAACATCAAAATTTTATTCTGCCAATTTGCTGAATTAACTTATAGTTTCTAGAAATTATTTTGTAGATACCTTGGAATTTTCTAGAAAGGCAATCATGTCGTCTGCACATAAAATTTCTTTATTTCTCCTGTTACAATTTGTGTGCGTTTTATTTCTTTTTCTTACCTCAATGCCTTGGCTAGCACTTTCAGTGTTATGTGGAATAAGAGAAGTGAGAGTAGACATTCTTTTCTTGTTCCCAGTCTCACTGGTTAGGCATCCAATCTTTCACCATTAAGTATGATGTAAGCTGTAGGGTTTCTGCAGACTCTATTTATTATCCTAAGGGAGTTCCCATCTATTCCTGATTTATTGAAATTTTCTATATGAATATGTATTAAATTTTGTCACATTTTTCTGCATCAATTTATAAGAATATGAGATTTCTTCCTCCTTACCTTGTTGATAGATTATGTTGATTTATTTTGAAATGTTGAATAATCCTTAATACTTAGAATAAATCCCATTTAGTCATGTTGTATAATTACTTTTATTCTTTGCTGAATTCAATTAGCTATATATTTTGATGACTTTTATATCTACATTTATGAGATATATTAGTCTGTAGGATTTTTTTAAACTGTTTTTATTTGGTTTTAGTATCAGGATAATACTAGTCTCCTAAAACAAGTTAGGAAGGAAGTATTCTTTCCTTTTCTAATTGTTGAGAGAGATTATATAAGATTTGTTGAAATTCTTCTATAAATATTGGCAGCAGTGCTTATGCAAACCATTTTTGATCTTGGATAATTGTTTTTGCAGGAATTTTAAATTACAAATTCAGTGTCTTTAGTGGTTGTAGAACTATTTTGCTTGTCTATTTTCTCTTGATTGAGTTTTAGCAATCTGTGGTTTTTAAAAGAATTCATTCCTTTCAGTTGTCGTATTTATGAGCATAAAGTTATTTGTATGATTCTGTTATTATCTTTTATTAGATATAAAGTCTATGGTGACATCCCTTGTTTAATTTCTGTTACTGGAGGTCTATGCTTTTTTATTTTTGTCAATCTTGCTTTATCAATTTTATCAATGTTATTGATTTTCTTAAAGATTAGCCTTTGTTTTACTGACTTTTTTTCTCTATTGTTTTCAATCATTTAAAAGATGCTATATAAATAAATAATAAATAGTGGAATTTATATATCCTCTTATCTGTATTATTTCCTTGCTTTTGTTTGCTGTAGTTTTATTTTCTCTTCTAGTTTTTCAAGGTGAGAACATAGAGTATTGAACTGAGACTTTTCCCATTTTCAAGGCTAAATGTTTAATGCCATATATTTTCCTCTCTGCTCTGCTTTATTTGTATCTTACATATCTTGGTATTTACTCCACTCAACTCTATGCATCTTATCATTTATTGTGAGACTTCTTCTTTGACCTATTTAAAAGTGTTTTGCTTTCCAGGTATTTATCATATAAGAAACTTAGTTTTGCAAATAAAAATTAAAAAAAAAATTCCAAGTGCTTAAATATATTTTTGACTTTTGTCTTACTGAATTTTAGTGTCATTTTCTTATCATCAGAGAATATACCCTGCATGATTTCAATTGCTTCAAATTTCTCCAGATTTATTTTGTGGGTCAGCATAGTCTCATTCTCAGTGAACATTCCATGAGGACTTGAAAAACATTAATTTTCCTGTTTTTTGATGGAGTATTCTGTATCTGTCTACTTTTGGGCTGATTATTTTGTTCAACCATTTCCTTTTGAGTCTTAGTTCTTATCATGTACTTAGTGCTGAGTTCTTTCTCTATAAAAATGAAAATAAATACTTTCTTGTCTTGCAGGATTTTTGTGAAGATCACACCAACTAATATATGTAAAAGTTCTTTGTTACTATTGAAGTACCAAATATGTAGATACTTATTATCATCTCTCTGCAATGAATGTTAGGAAATCAAGACCTTGACTTTTGGATGCTTGAAGTTGAATGTTATTAAAGATTTTGGCACAGTTATCAGTTGAGAAAGGTTTGTAAAAAAGTAAATGACATATGCTCAGCTTCAGGTCATACATAGTACAAAAACATGTTATCTGTGCCTCATCTACTTGTCTTTCATGAGTTCCATATACAAGCAAGACAAAACAGATAAGATTGCATTCTATTATGAGTGAGCTATGAAGACAAAGATTCAACCAATACTTTATAATTTCATTTTATAATACATTAAAATTTAACAGCTCTTCAAAAAATGCCTATTCTGGCAAACCATTTCTGTCTACAGTGTATATATCATATTTTGATTTAGCTTACTGTTCCCCTCCATTTTTCTCATATTCACATTCACAATTTTTTACATTTCATCAATTTTATATTTGGAAATATTAATAGAATTAAAATATTAAAAGCCAAAATAGTGTATCCCATCCCCAAATCAAGCCACTATAGTCAAAGACAGTGCTTTTCAAGCTATCTGGGGAGAAAGACTGATATTTCATTTTTCTGTTTAATTTCCAACAGATATGTGTTCTGATTGTCCATGACTAATAACTTGCACCACATATAACTTAGCACAAAAGTTTCACAACACCTGAATTGATTTGCAGCCTGTTTAACCATATGTCAAATATTGCTACAACTTTACCTATATCTATCTAGTATGGACTGGAAATAAACAATTAGCAAATAGTCTTTAAATTAAACTAGTCCCAGCAGAATATCTTATATAATCTAAGAAACTCCTTTGAGGCCTAGTAGCAAAAATAGCAGCTAAAAAGATGTGATATAATTAAAGAATGTGCACATTTTAAGCCTAAGAACCTTTTCAAAGAGCATAGCATTAGTTATTTAACAGAAATATCAGTGTTCACATGTGCATAATCACTGGCATGCACAAAACAGTTTTAGATTATTCTCTAGGGATCTGAGCTAATTAACTCTGATAGGTCACTAGGCATTTTGGATTAACTGATTTCGCTACAAATCTAGAACAGATTCTGGAAGCCTCAAGACCATGGTAGGACTGTGGACTTACACAGTGGATATAAAATAATTTTCAATGATAGTAGAAATAATAGATACCTTGGAAATTATATGATAAAAAGATATGTCCCTGTGTGTGAAGATATAGAGCATCGAATTTATGACCAATATCCTAAATCTCTTATAGAAGTAAAAAGGGACTTAGTCAAACAATGCCTGAGAAACTTGGCAGAAACTAACTTAAGAATATTCAGATGTGAAGATGGTCGTGGCGGGAGATCCATGAGGCGGGGGCAGCGGTGACCTCTGCCAGGGAAGGGCGTGGGAGGGGTGGAGCCAGGATGGCCCGAGGGCAAGGCCCTGGGGCAAGAGTTTGGTACAAGGCCCTGGGGCAAGAGTTTGGTACAAGGCCCTGGGGCAAGAGTGTAGTGGTACTACACTCCACTGGCTTCTTCCCCAGCCTTTGACTGCCCCTATCAGCTGGGGCGCCTGGGGGGCATCTGCCACTTTTGTCACCACGGTAGTCCCCTTCCACCCCCCCACACACCCGCAGCAGATGAGGAAACTAGGAAACAGGCCCAGAGAGGGGAAGCCACTGGGCTGTGTACACACGGCCACTTTGCTCTGAGTACTGCAGGAGACACGTTTGCATGTTTGCCTCTGTGCTGGTGTTTCTGTTGGGTGGATTCTTAGAATTTTGAGTCTGAGGATTATGGCATTTGAACTGCTCGGAATTGTTATAAATCTGCTTTCTAGAAAAATCATTCTGTTCATGGCTCCAACAGCAGGGAGATTTGATTTCATCTTGCTTTTGCAGTCTAAGGGCTGGGTTAGGAGCCCTACAACTCTAAGCTGCCGAAGTCCCCCTAAGAGAGGGAAGAATTGCTCCCTGGGCCAAGGGGACTAGCTGGGAGAATTGCCGCTGGGCTGAGGAGACTAGCTGGGCTGGTATGTGCAGGAGCTCCAGGAACGAGAGGGCCATCAAGTGACCCAGAGACTCCGGTGCAAGCCCTACATGCTGCCCTCAAGAAGTCCTGTGACCCCTGTGGTGGCTGCGAGGCCAGGTTGTTCGACTCTGAAGATGATGCTGCCACAGTTCGGGTCCTGCAGTGCTATGTGAGGAGCACCTCGGGCAACCTCCGTAAAGCCCAGACGGGTCCCCCAGCCGCCCTGCCAAATCCTCCTCCCCAGACAGGGCCTCGCAGGATTAGGGCTGCCTCCAGGAGGGAACACTCAATAGGAAGAAGAGTGGGATCCCACCAGCCCCTGACTATGAGAAAGGTGCTGGGAAGAAAGACAAGACTAAGGACAAAGGCCAGTGGCAGCCTGTTGGAGGATCCCCAAGGGAAGAGGCCAGCAGTAAGGCAGGAATGTCGGAAGGGACCAAGAAAAAGCCATTTTGGTCCACTTGGGCTGCCAGCTCAGGGAAAGGGAGGCCTGACAAACCAGGGTGGAGGCCGACCCCCTCGAGTGGGGACCCCCAGCACTGGGGAGGGCACAGCAGGGAGAAGCAGCCCTGGAACCACCCTGCCCTCCAGCCTGAAGCAGGCTGCCTGGCCCCCGTCCTGGCTCCAGTTGGCCAACCTCTCTGAGGCTTGCTTTCCCCCTCTGGTCCAGAGATAGCTGTAGTTATAAGGCTGCTGTGTAGTGACAGTGAGTGAGCACAGGAAAAACAGAGAATGTGGTTCTCAGGTTAGCAACCAGGAGTGTCTGCCATTCCATTACGAGACCCTGCCCTGGGAGGATTTTGAGATTCTGAAGCTGGATTTGCAGATTAATCGAGGTAGGATTAAATGCTAACTTAATCAAGGGCGTGGTAGCCCCGCCCTATCCTCTGACTGTATATATATTCAAACGGAGAGCGGAGCCAGGGCCCTCAGAAGAACCAGCACTCGGCAGAGGAGGGCCAGGCAGGCGCTCCTGGAGCGAAGGCAGCATGACGTTGAGGGCCACCGCCCCGTGCTGGCATCCCGAAGCTTCTGAGGTGGCAAGGGAGTCACACCCCTCAGCCCTCTGGCAGCCCTCCCAGGACTGCCTGTTCTGCGGACACCCGATGTGCAACCAGACAGTGGAATATATCGTCATCCAGGCAGAGCCCCCAAGAAGAGGTCCAGATGTGTTCCCAGCCTGGCCCACGACGGCTCAGCAGATGTGCTGCCTGAGTGCCCCGCAGGCACAGAGGGAGTCGGCCAACAGGCTGCAGGCCTGTGGAACTGATGGAAGCCTTTGTAGAAGTCCCCTGTGGACAGGAAGGGCTCACAGGCCAGCAGCTGTCAAGAAGCAGACCAGCAGAAAGGGACCAAGAAAAAGCCATCCTCAGTCACCTCGGCGGCCAGCTTACAGAAAGGGAGGCCCGATAGGCCTGGGTGGTGGCAGAGCCCCTCCAGTGGGGGGCCCCGGTGCTGTGGAGGCAGCAGCAGGAAAAGGCAACGCCAAGGGTACCCTGCCCTCCAGTGTGCAGCGGATGAAGTCCTTTTCATCCCACATCTCAGCCCCTGGTAAGAAGAAGAGGATCACCCACGTTCCCAACGTCTACTTGGTCACAGCCCGCACAGGTGCCAAGAGGACCATGGCAGCCAGCGGTAGCCAGCCTTACCATGCTCCAGGATCCGGCCGCCAGCAGCTGAAGACGTGCAAGCTATCCGCGATGGCATCCAAAACCGTCAAAACCACGACCACCGTGCCCCACAAGCGGGTTGCTCACAGCCAGTCTTTTCAGAGTTTAAAGCAACTCACTATCCTGAAAGAGTTCGGGGACAATGTCACCACCATCATCCGGAGGCACTATCTCCTCCTCTTCATCGAGGAGTGTCTGAAGTTCTGTGCCTCCAACCACGAGGCCGTAGAGAAGGCGCTGAACGAGGAGAAGGTGGCCTACGACAGCAGCCCCAGCATGAACGTCTACCTGAACATGACGGCCAACACCCTTAAGCAGCTGCGAGGTCTGGTCCCCAGCGCCGTGCCCGGGCTCAACAGGGCCGCCCTATACAGCCGCCTGAAGGAGTACGTGCTCACCGAGGACCAGCTCAAGGAGAATGGCTACCCTTTCCTGCACCCCAAGCTGCCAGGGGGTGCCGTCCTCTTCACCGCCAAAAAGCAGCAGCCCCAGAACTCCTCCTGCAGGGTCTGCTGCCGCTGTGGCACTGAGTACCTTGTGTCCTCCTCCGGCCACTGTGTCAGCGATGAGGAGTGTCATTACCACTGGGGGCGGCTCCACCAGAACCCAGTGGCGGGACGCTGGGAGACACGGTACACGTGCTGCTCGGCCCCCCCCAGCTCCGTGGGCTGTCAGGTAGCAAAGCGACACGTGCGGGACAGCCGGAAGGAAGACCTTCAGGGTTTCGTGAAGACCTTCAGGAAGGAATCCTCAGCAGACGCGCACCCAGGAATCTACGCCCTGGACTGTGAGATGTCTTACACCACATACGGGCTGGAGGTGACCCGTGTCACGGTGGTCAACACAGAGCGGCAAGTGGTTTATGACACCTTTGTCAAACCCATCAACGAGATCGTCGACTATAACACCAGGTTTTCAGGGGTGACGGAGGCTGACCTCGCCAACACAAGCACCAGGCTGCAGGACGTCCAGACAGTCCTGCTGAGCATGTTCAGTGAAGAAACCATCCTCATTGGACACAGCCTGGAGAGCGACCTGCTGGCCTTGAAGGTCATCCACAGTACTGTGGTGGACACGTCTGTGCTCTTCCCCCACTACCTGGGCCTCCCCTACAAGCGTTCCCTGCGGAATCTCACAGCCAGCTACCTCAGACAGATCATCCAGGACAAAGAGGACGGGCACATCTCCAGTGAGGACGCCGCTGCCTGCATGAGCCTGGTATTCTGGAAAGTCCAAGAAGACGCCCAGATCAAAGGATGACTCCCCTGCCCCATGCTGCTCGCCTGCTGCTCCCCCCCTACTCCCATCCCTCCCCCATCCAGACACCCCGCCACCCCAGAGCCTTTGACTTTGAACACTGTCTTTCCCAGGAGCCCTGTCCTCTGTGAGGCTCCCGTATCCCCTCCTCTCCCCACCCCTAGTTTAGGAACAGAATAAATGTTTGCATGTATTTCACAGTGGTGTCCAATTTGTAAAAGTCAAAATGAAAACTGAGATAGATTAAATCTGTTACTGCTCCTTGATTTTCTCAGGCTTTCTACTGTATCACAGAAGATTAAATTGTTAAAACAGGGTTAATTTTTATAAAAGTTGGTGGTGTTTTATTTCTAGTTTTCTGATCACAAAAACTTACTTGGAATTATCTTTTTTTCTTTTGCATCTAATAAAAATCTATATAGTTAATGAGCAACTACTGTCTGGTTTTAGTCTGAAATGTTGGTTCTTGGTGCATCTGTGGCTGAAAAATGACTAGACACACCAAAGTTAGGAAAACACAAAAATTAGGTTTATTGAGGAGAGAAAGATAGGCTTATTGGGCAAGAGCAAGATAGAGGTTTACAGAATATGATACATATGCCAAGGATCACAAGATGACAACCAGATCCACTGTCACAGCAAAGGAAGAGAAGAGGAAGGGCACAAAAAGGAAATTGGTTATGGTCTGTGTCTTGTTTTATAGTACTTAGATTGTGACCTCCCTAGTGGTGAAGATATCAGCATGGAATCACTTTCATTGGACAATTGGGAGCTGCATGACCTGAGCCTTACTGAGCATGGAGATATCCCATGAGCCTCTCTGAAAGCTCATTAGTGGAGAGTGAATCACAGCAGCATCCACTTTTGTCCCTAGGAGACCCGGAATCCCTCACTATCTACCTAACACTACTATTATGATTTAGACAACGGAAATACCTATTTCCATCTTTAGTAATGGTCTCAGAGTAGGTCCAGAAGTAAAAATGAGTCTGATACATTCCTTAAATATGATGATTACTACACTTGCAAATTACTACAACTGGGCTACTGGGGCAGAACTTGGAGACCACTGCTTATCCCCCCTGGGAGATAAAAAAACTTCCCTAACAGATAACAAGGGGGCTGAATTCAAAGAGAGAGTAGGTATAAATTGCAAATATTTGATTCTATTTCTTAGAAGCTTTGATAATAAGTCATTTAGAAAAATTACATCAATGGATATATTCAATGCCATCTTCACTTCTCTAATATAGATATTTAAAAAAATCCATGTGTGTATATAAATGCGAGGCTTGCTTTATTCACAGAGTTCCTTTTGAAGTAAAATGAAACTTTATATTAACCAATTAATTCACCAGAATCTGATGAATTGTAACTTTATAACTTCATAGTAACTTAAGAAATCCTTAAGTAGTAGGGACTACATAGGAGTTTCATTCTTTTAATTCCACTTTTCCTACATTTTATCAAAATCTTTGTTATTTTGGACTTATCAATATTCCATTTACTTTTTGTCAGATTTAATGATAAAATATACACATAAACATGTTACACACTTGCTAAGTTAATTTTTACTCATCTATTATTATTTTGTTATATCCTTTGGTATGTGATTTTAAAGTTACAGAGTAAAATAAGATAAAACATACAAAACTACAAGAATTTTACAGTTCTTTTTCAGGTTCACTAAATTTTTATTATATATTTACATTATCAACTTATTTCTAACTCAAGAGCTTTTTAATAAACTTTATATAACATTTTCTTAGTTATTGTTACATAGTTCATTTTATAACTCTTAATTATTTTTCTCCTATTATAGTTGATGCTTTTGAAAAGAAGTTTTCAGATTTTGACTAGTGAACTTCATTAATCTGCAAAGGAACCTTATTAATTATGTTACACTCTTTACATAATATGCTAAAGATATTTCAGATTCATTTGTCTCTATTACCTACCAAATTAAAAATAATTCATGACTCCCCCAAACATGATATGTATCTTTCTCTGTCCAAATCCTAAACTCTAATAGCATTTTAATTTCACATCACTTAAAAAATGATCTTAAATTCTACTTCTGAAGGCAATATCAACAGAATTGTGAAAAACAAGAGTAAGAAAGATTTTAAAAGTTTCGGAGGAAAGCAGAGAGTACTTCTCCTATCTCACAAAACATTTAAAATAGGGATAAAACATACAAACAAAAAAATAAGCAAGTTCTCAGGTAGACTGGAATGTTGAACAGAATAAGCATAATAGAAAAGAACATTTAATTCAGCTTGTCTGACTATTTTATCTGTACTCATTACAGAAGATTAATTCTTAAGAAGATTTTAAAAATTATTATTACTTTCAAAACAGCTTATTATCTCTGCACGATACAGGTTTAATAACAGATATACAACACAACCTTATTTTAATCATTTGGAGAATGGAACCGATCACAGAGAATTTCAGAATACTCTCATTCCTGCCGATGGGTTGAGTTTTTAAAAATTACTGTATAAAGTCTACTATAAACATATTAAAATTTTGAAGTATATTGATTTCACCCTTTTAGATTCCATATCATGCTCTACTCAGCTCATGTTTAAAGCTTCTATACCTCAGAAACGCATTTCTCAATTATCTTACAGGTGTTTGAAATGACTCTAACTATAGATATACAATATAGACACATAAATAAACAGATTGCAAAATTCTCTGATACTTCAACTAACACATCTCATTTACAAAAGAGAATTGAAACATGTTACCACATATGAGGAAAAAATTATATATTTTATAGTTTGCAAAAAAGCAACAGAAGTTTGTTGACTTTAATGAGGCCTAGAAGGCCCTTCAGAGTAAGGTTCCAATAGTGTTTTCCAATGGGGACACCCTTACTATTTCAGTCAGGGCAAGTTTTCACTTTGTCAGGCTATGGGAATATATTCAACATATCCTGTTTTAGGAAACAAATGTCAATAGGATTCTCCAGTCAAATGACGACTATAAATTGCTCCTATACATATCTCAATTCCCCTAGGGGGATGAGATTGCAACTCCTGAGTCAGAACCACTGGATATGAAGGGGCCCAGATATCTTCTACTTCTCAAAATTTCAAAGATGAATACTTCTTTTCTCCCCAACTTCACTCATTACTTTCGAATGAAGAAAGGTCTGGAGAAGAAGCTGAAGATGTGATCAGACTCTTCTGATTTCTTTCTTTTGCAGTATGTAGTCCTCACAATGTTTATTCATCCACTCCTCTAAGTAGTAAGTTTATAAAGGAAGGCTCTGGACTAGTAAAAGGCCAGTAGTTGCTTAGATCCATCTGACACTAGGAGAAAGAGGTTAATTCTGGGGACAAATGCCAGGACCAAATAGTCACACATTATGATATTTTAATCTTTGTATATTCAGCTCTTATTTGTCATTTGATTTCAAATTTGGAAGAAGAAGACACATGAGTAAGTAATTTGGTCTCTCAAGTCTCAGCAAGGCTGAGAACTTCACTATCAGAGATCTGTCTTTCTCACAATAGCACACGTTCATCTCTAGGAGAGCACATAGTTATGCCACTTCTTTGGCTGTGCTGCCAGCAAGTAGGACACAAGTGCCAACTTTATCCTCAAGAATTTTTGTGAGTACTCCCAGGCACTATACATAACATTCTGGGTGCCTAAATTACTGAAGGTCTTCTCTGCTTCTTAGTTCTGATTAATGGTTGCCAATGTGACTTCTTTATAACTGTATAAAGTGAGTACACTGGCCCGAGGCTATCTACAGTCAGAAATAACAATTAATGACACATTTGAGGACAATACAAAGTTTACAAGGAATAAAGACATATTTACAAGTTAATTATGCTTTAATATGTATGCCACATTTGGAGAGGATAGATGCAATCTCATTTTTGCTTAATTTATATTTTTGAAGTAATTAGTAAAGTTTGTCACTTTTATGTTTATAGACAAAACACATGTCATGATATTTGTGCTTCTCTTTCAGTGTCTTCTTACATTTATTTATACACAATTCCCACATA